TGCATATATACGATCTGTCTATTTCAAATACGGTTATCGACTAAAACTATGTACGAAATAATATATGTGTGTGTGTGTGTGTGTGTGTATTGAGTGAGGGAAAGTGTTTCAATATCTTTGTACGTGAGTTTTATCCTTACTTGGTGCTACACTCATGGGCCTTGACTCAGAACAAGATGAGTGAACAGTTGCATGTATGAACGCTGATTATCTATCTTTTATTGTCGATAATTATCAAGATGGCGTCTTTCTCAAAACAGCAGGTCTTCTATGAATGGTGTTTTACTTTTGGGGTTGGGGCAGAATTCTTATTTTGTTACAATCACTGTTTTGTTTTGTTTTTTTCTCTTTCTGTCGACATTGCCAAACCCATTTTTCATCACCTGAAACAATGCGCGATACAAGAATCAATGGTTGGCTTACTTGGCTAAAAGTCGGTTGCAGATGGTGGAACGTAATTTTATATCTCACGAGGAAGAAACTTTCCCTCTTTGCGTATTTTTTTTTTAAATTTAAACTCTGATACAAGAAATGATAAACTAATTCCTGACGAAGTTTCGTACTAGTCAACCTTGCTTCGGACTTGCTTGGTTGACTCATATCTTATAGCGTTGAAAGACGTAACTCATTTCAAACAACACTAAACAACACACACACACACACACACACACACACACACATATATATATATATATATATATATATATATATATATATAGATAGATATAATATGTGAAAATATATAGAAAATAGGAAGGAACTGGTTAGGTAAATAATCCAAAGTCCTTAGTATTTTAGTTATTATTTTAAAAATAGTGCTCGATACAAAAGTAGAGTATAAATATAATTATTTATTTAAAAATATGATTCCAAAACGCTACATAAAGTCTCATGTTTCAAAACAAGAGCCGAAAACTTCAATATAATTATTTAAATTAAATTGAGTTAAAGTGAGCTCTGTTCCATCTTCAAGCGAAATTTTTAACACGTAAATTTCAGAAATACGTTATTCCAATAAAAATTTCGCTACCATCCATGAAGTTCTTGTCGGCATTAAATTATTCCATTCAGGTAAACCAAACCAAACCAGACCTGTTAGAAAACCAAACCAAACTAGATCTGTTAGAAACCAAACCAAACTAGATCTGTTAGAATCAGGACTTGATCTGTTAGTATCTGGATTTCAGCAACTTCTCCACCGCCGTGATCTGTTTTTTCCGCTGTCTTGTCTTTAACTATTTTCATGGCAATCGGGATTGCCTCCTTGATACCTTGACAACATGAATTTATTTTTTACTACCAGATTGACAACATTGAATGCTGGACAATGAAGTAAAAACTGCAGGATACAGAAATATGGTTCTATTGAAGAATGCTGAAAATACATTGGTCTGTGAACATAAGGAAAAAATAAAAATAAAACAACAACAAAAAGAACACATACTTAGAATCAGAAAGAGGAAGGACGGCTTGGAGAATTTGAAACACACAGGACATTTGAAATTCTAAAAGAACAGTGTGAGTCAGTGGGCAACCGGCATGTCGATATTGTTTAAATGACTGCCAGAATGGGGTTGAGGAGCGATAGCAGCATGATAAACATTGGTAAGAGATACAAAGAATATGAAATTATGGAGAGTTATGAATGTCCATCTACTGAATAGACACAGAGGAAAAAATCGTATAGCTCACTTCGAATTTAATTGTACGACGCTCTTTATCAATAATCAGATGTTATTAGATAAGAAGCACACCAAGAAGTTTCAAGGTGAAAAGTGTATTCCTGCAAATCAATGATCTTTTATGGTCCAAAAAATGAAAAATGCCAATGGAAGATACCAGAATAACAGTATCCCCCACCCCAGATATTAAGCCACTAGAAAATATTTGGCCCATCATTAAAGAAGAAATATCTGCCACTAAGACGCAGGTTACTGAGTGTGAAAGAACATGAGAAAAAGAAAAACATTATTAAGGAGAGAAAACAATACAAGAACAAGAAATAAAAAGGCAGAAGATGTTATGGAGTAGCTGAACACCCCTCACAAGATGGACAGGTCTAAGACTATTTAAAAAGCACTCTTTTTACTTACTGAGCGGGGAGCAGTTAACGATTACTGTTAACTCTGCTTGTCGACTCTGGGCGGAAAGTAACCCAGACGAGGCTATGCCTCAGGGTAGAGACTCATTGGGAGAGCTAGGCAGCTATACGACTTGATGTATACAGGGTCTACGGAATGCCCCACGTGCCACGTCCCGTCTTGTGTGAAGGTCTCGGGTAAATACCTAGAAATTAACGATTACAGTTAACTCTGCTTGTCAACACACTGACTCTGGGCGGAGAGGAGACGAACTCAGACGAGGATATCTGATATATATATATATATATATATATATATATATATATATATATATATATATATACAAAATCTGTTATTTAACATAGAGCCCATTTTTCTAACTGTGGATTATATATGCAGTGCTGTTCAATAAAAGTGAC